CTGGCAGTGATGTTACATTAAAGGAGACACAAGTTCACTAATTTTGTTGTCAGTGTTGCGTATGTTGATGCTTTCTGTTTGCATTTTGATACAAACTAGCATGTGACTCTTTCCCTTTTAATCTGTGTTCAAGGGAGTAAATGTTTGGTGCTTCAGCAGAAGAGGGTTTCCCAGTTAGTCAGGACTTGAGTGTGCAGTTGTGAGAAGTCATGGGGCTGGGTATTGTGGAGGTGAGTGATGTATCTTTAGACTTCTAATGTTGTAGATGTCATGAGAACTGTAGACTCACCAAGATGTCCAAAGGAATCTTTTCTGCCCTCTGTGCTGTTCTTCCCTTGTTGCTGACAGAAGTGCTTCTGTGGCTTTGCAGTGAACTGGAGAGTGAGGAATTGATGTGGTTTAAAACTAAATTTAAAGCACAAATCTGGTTTTGTTTCCCCTTCATCTGAACCAGAGAGAGAAGTAGCAGAAACAAATTAGCAAATGAAAGGTGGGACTGCTGCTTTTGGCAGCAGCGTTGACCCACACTAGTTCAGTGATGGTGAAAATACAGTGTAACACAGTTTATGTACTGAGCATATACTACTGGATGACACTGAACATGGAATCAGAATGTGCTTAAAAGGAAAAATTCACTCAAGTCTGACTTCACTTCTGCAGCTTATTGTTTAGCACAGCAACGATGTGCTTTCTGTCACTCATGAGAGCTCTGGTAACAACTGAACTGTTGCAGGTCAGCTGTTCATAGTGAAGTCTATGAAATGAGATGGTTTGCACCTAAAAATGAAGTGTGCAGTAGATCTCTAAGTAGTAGGTGAGGAAAGCAAAGTGAAATTACTCCTTTTTGTCCAGGGAAAATATTACCTGTGAAAATTACGTTTGTTCAGTTTGTAGTCTTTTAGGACGTTGCTTAAGTATGGAGAAGTATTTAAGTTTTATGATTGTATTTTCATAGCATTGTAAAAAACCTCAGCTATTTGCAGTAGCTTCTTTATCTGGTAGCTAATACATATTGAGCTTAATTTTGAGGATGACTTCACTGAGTTGAAGTCAAACTTTTCAAGGTGTGGGTCAAGATTTTTACAGCTCTTGTCCTAAATAGCATAGGTCTTGTTTATTCTTTGCCACTGGTTAAGCCTGATTCCTTTTAAGAAAGCAAAGCAAAAAAGCTTGTATAACAAGCCATCCCGCAAATGGTTCAAGACGTTGATGATTTCTGAAGTAGTCAAGTAGGTTCCTACAAGACTAGTAGAAAATAGGAACATGCCACAGTGTTCGGACTGTGGGAGAGAACGTGTGTGGTCTTGTTCTCCAGACAGCCGTGAATCCATGCAGAGGAGAGTCTTTCGTTACATATCCCAACCATGGGAAAAACTTAATTGGAGTTTGCATTTCATTATATACCAAAGTCTTCAACTGTTTGATGTAAACCTGTAGGAAACTGGCTTTGATAATTATGGTGCCCATAGCCTATGCCAGCACCACTCCCTTATTTGCAAGGAGTAGTGCTATCAACAGAGATAATTATCCCACAAGGTTTCATAATGCAGGTTGTCCCAGTATCGCTGTCGCCGAGAAGCATCTGGAAAAAGTATAGGGCTGCTCTTAGCACATGTGTTGGCCTGACATTTTGGAACATCTGGTGAACTTGAAGTGCCCTGTAGATCTGTGTGTGAGTGGGATGGTCTCAGAAATGGTCATTCTGTCTCTGAAATTTAGTTTCCTAGAACCATAGAATACTAGCATGGAAGGGATCATCTGGTCCAACCTTTCTTGGCAAAAGCATGGTAGAATTTCTCCTAGTTCATTTTATTAGTTGGAAAAGCTCATAAAATAAACTTTTTGGTGGGATGGAGAGTTCCAGCTGCAGGTTGTCTTTGGTAGTAGTGCTGGCCATCTTGCGAAGGAAAAAGCTGGCATGCTGATGTGCTGGTCACTAAGGTGCATCAGGCTTCTGGAGCTACTGGAAGGGTGCAGGGAGAAGGGAAATGATGCGTGTGGAGAGTGGTTGTGAGAGGATTCGACAAGGAAGGAGCTTCTGTTCTGTTTGTGAAGCTCTTGTTGGCTGGGGATGTAGAGTCTCCCAGTGTTCAGTGGTGGGGAGTTTGTGGCCTTAGTCCTTGTCTCTCCTCTTCCTATGCAGTTCCATCCTGCTGCTGCCCGGGAGGAGGCACTTGTTGCTCACCCAGGCACTGCTCAGTGGAATGGCTGAGGAGAAAGAAGTATAAGAGAGGGCTGCTTCTCTCACTATCGTTTCTGTGCCAGCGCTTAGAGTTGACTTGGCAAGGTGCGGGTGGCCATGCCTGTATTCCTCCTCCTGAATGCTGAACCCCCTGTGTACTGCTGGTCAGCTCAGCTTAGAAAGGCAGGGACTTGCCAAGAAGTGAACGTGGGTCTGCTGCTTCAAGAGCAATCTTAGTTGCACTTAGCAGGACAGAGACGCTGGGCGAGTGGGTGGGTGCAGGTCCTGTTGCGGCTGACAGTATCCCATGGCATTGATATCTGTACATTCAGTATGTAGATTGTTTAGGCAGTGGCGAGGAGAGGTGTGGCCCAAGTGCCATGGGGAGGACTGGCTTGTGGCAAGCAAGTTGAGAGTCCTGGCCTAGAAAAGAATGAAGTCATCTGCTGGCTGTGGAGAGGAGTCAAGTTCTCTGATGCTCTTTTTATTCTCCTGTAAAACACATACATATGCCTAGTTATTGTCCTAGCTCTTTTTACCAATGTCAGATCAAAATAAAACTTGCAGTTCTATAGTTAAAGTCTAACACATAGTAAAACTACCACTCAATTCCTCCTGCCCTTTTGTGTAAAGAAAATTTAGAAATTGGCATGAAGAAAACCTTCATGAAAACTTGTCAGTGCTAATCAGGATGGGTGAATTAAACTTTCACTTTGCTTTTTCTTGCTATTTAAAGTTTCCAGAAGGCTTTTTAACCTTGAGTGACTTCTTTCTCTCTTTTAAAAGATAATTAAATCCCACAGAGACCTGAAATGAAATCAAGTAGCCTTTCCCAGTTATAATTGTTTTGTGAGGAAAAAACATGAGAAAAAACAAATTACCCCCGCTAGCCTGGCTTTAACTTTGGGTTGAACCACTTAAATTTAGTGCTGCTTAACAGTTACACAAATACAAAAATTTTAATTACAGAATATAAAGCTAGTGATGATACTACTCTCTCTCTATATATATATTTCTGAAGGAGTTGTTGCTTTTTCAGGCTTTCAGATAAAAATACTAGTAGAAAGAATGTTGTCTTCAGGCAGGTTAGAACTTGGCATATTCATGGTAATATAATGTCTTTGAAAGAAAGCATGTGTATATATCTAGGAAGAGTCAAGCTGCAGAATCAAATCATTCCTATTTTGAGGGCTGGTATTTAAGTTGCCCTGTGGATTGTGTTGATAGATCTTTCTAGGAATTCATCTCTGGTGACGAGGATCTGCTGTGTTAACCAAGTGCTACTCTTCGCTTGTGTAGGGTTAATAGCAAGTTTCCAGATATCAATAGGCCTGCATGAAATAAATTAGTTACTCCTGTTGTTTTCCTGCTGTGTTTGGAAATATCTTTTAATATTCCAGAAAAATACAGTAGTCTTCCCTATGAAAATGGAAGTGGGAAAACAAGTTCAATTGTAGCCCAGCTGAAAAGCTCTTAACTTGGATGTATCTAGCATAATGTATTAAATATATATTTTTAAAAGTCTGTTTTCATGTTTTTAGAGTGCTTAAATTTGAGATTATTTCAATCTTAAATCTGTTCTTGTTTGTGCTCACATTCAACAGTCTTGCAGTTCAGACCACTGGTATTTAGACACCATGCATGTGAAGTTTTAAACTCTTTCCCTGTGTGACACCAGCTGATCCTTGCCTGAAGTAGGCAGTCAGCCTTCTGCAGGGCAGCGCTCCAGAGCCTGAAAAAGGAGTCTGCTTGCCTTCATCCACTACAGATTTCTCATTAGTTTGCAAAAGGAGACAAGGCTCTCCAAGTGCGTTCTCTTGTTACACAGGCTAGTTAGTTACAGATACAGATGGTAATGGTAAGAAAAAAAATTCTGGATTACTCCATTGCTTTTCCTAGTCAGCGATTGTCGTAGAGCAGCTCTTACAGCCTGAGCAATGAGTGACTATGAGCCTTCTGCAGGGCTACAAACAAATGATTTTCATCTGCAGATGCTGTGGTGGATGCAGAACTGAGCTACTTTTAAGTGTATCTATAAAGAGTTCTCCTAACTTTAACATCTGTTGCTTTGCAGGGAGTTAGTCACCTTTGAATCTTCCTCTTTCTTCTCCTTTTCAGATTCCTTTCCTGACTGTGATGTTAGCTTTTAATCATAAAGACTGTAGGAGAGGGGTATAGGTGATCAGTGTAGAATAGACCTCACCAGTGAGATTTATAGGTGGAATAATATCTGTAGTTCTTCAAGCAAAAGTATGAAATCTCTCAGGATCATGAATGGAAGGAGCATCTATGCAGTGAAGCCCTGAGATCTTTGTAGACCACGGGAGAGTTAGCAAGAATGTTACTGATGACAGTGCTGTGCTGAGAAACATCTACCTGGCCTAAATCTTTGGGGTGGGCTGGCAGCTAATTCCATGTTTATGCATTGCAAAGAACTTCCCAGTTGATCCCTTCCCTGGAGAAGGAGCTGTGTTCCCTTGAGACCTAAGACTTCTCTGAATAATTAATATGTTGGTTCTCTGTCCTCCGAGAGAGATGAAAGAGCTGTCGAAGGCTACCATGTTACGCCCGATAAAGGAAGTAGTTGGCAAGTCTTCAGATATAGTCACATGAATTAAAAACACTTGCATCCTCTTTCCTTAATAATAAATGAAGCCTTTAAGAGTAGAGTTTAAAAAAAAAAAAGGAAAAATCCCAACTAAAAAAAACATTCTATGTGAGTAAAATTCCCACTTGCTTAGTTTTACTTGCCCCTGAATTACTTTGTTTTTTCAAATCACCCCTGTTCTTCCTCTTATCTTCTCCATTCCTGCGTGAGATGTCGGGAAGGCGGATGGTAGGGTAAAAACATTTTAAAACTCCCCATGTTCTTAATTACAGAGATTTTTTTTTCGCCTGCATTCCATAGATTTTAGAGGTGAAGAAGTGTTTCTGTGGCTGAAAAACTCAGTTTTTAATTTGTAGTTGATTACCTTATTAATGTTGAATACATTTTCAACCGTTGCTAGGTAAAAAATGTTGAAATGCTTATAATTCAGGAAACAAAATTTACCATGATTGTTACTTTTTTGGTTTTGCCCATGCAGTTTATGACAGGATATTGTGATGAAGTTGCTGCTCTTTCTATATTCCAAATTGGTGGTGGCTAATGCCAAACTTCTTTTGTTCATTTCTAGGTATAATGGATCCCTCCCTAATGGTGACAGAGGACGCAGGAAAAGCAGATTTGCCCTTTATAAACGACCTAAGGCAAATGGAGTTAAGCCCAGCACTGTCCACGTGATTTCTACTCCTCAAGCATCAAAGGTATGTGACAGTGGGGCAAACCCTGTTTTTCTAATGATCCTGGGTGGAGAACAACTCACATTTTACCACTGATTTACCTTGCTGCTGGTGCATTCTGTGGTAGTTAGATATGTTTGGTTTAATGAGAAGTCTGCAGTGGATTTTCTTTCTGGGGGTATACATCTTTAATCCAGTTACCTGTTTAAAATAGTCTTTAACCTCAGGTATGAGATAGTGGGACCTTTCTGCCCTGTTCAGAAAGCTGACTGTTTAGTTTCTGAGCCATAGAGTAGTCAGGTGATGCAAATACAAAAAGAATTTTAATTTCCTTCTCACTGGAGTGTAAGATTGGTATGCTTCTTTCCTCTTCAGGAAGATAACTGCCATGGTACCAAAAAAACACTGTGATCCTTCTGAGCCTTTCATTTTTGTTGCTAATAATGATATTGTATATGTTTTTACCTGAAGTTTAGTGTAGGTGAAGGAGGAAAAGCAGTAAATATGTTAATATAGTAGCATACTAACGTATAGAACTGTCCAGGTTAGAGTTCTGGTGGTGGAACGTGTTTCAAGCTGCAAAAAGTTATGCTATCTCTTCTTTCGAAGTCTTTTTCCTAGCAGCAAAAAGTGATTAGAATTCAGGCGAAACTGGATGGGGAGTTCTGTGGCAACACTCACAAACTGGATGGTTTATAGGAGGTGCACATCACTTGTGCCAAAATGCATACCAGGGGAGAGAGAGAACCTATACTATTCTTAAAGTGTGTTGTCTAACTCAGACCAAGAGAAGAATATTGTTTAATACATAGTATAGGATTGTGTTTTCTAATACATACTGTACATAGAATACACCTAAACTTATCAAAATATACAATATCAAGCTTGGTTTTTTTGAGATTATATAGGGCTTGCCTAATGCAGGTAAATATGTACTTGGTTTAAAAGTTTCTGTAAATATATTTTCAGTGTTTGTATTCTCAAAAGGAATGCATTTGTGAGTTGAATCTTCCTGCTGAAATCAACCTTCAAAATTGGCCTATATTTGTGTATTGGTTACTCTGGTCTGTTGTTTGAAATGTAACAAATTAAAAAAAATGTGGTTTACAGAGGTGATGGAAATATACACATGTTCTCACCGGATTGGGACTGCAGATAGTATTTCAGCATTTGAGTTGCAAAATATTTAAACACCTGGCAGACACCGCAAGGTATCTGGTTAATGTTCATGTACGTTATTGTAGCGCAGATAAAATGTGTGCTGTACAAATTAGTGCCATTATAAAGATAGCATAGAGTCTGAGACATTAAAGCCCCTCCTTTGAGGATTTGGATTCAGGTGGAGATGTCAGGTTGAATGTATTCCTTTGCACTTTCTCTGAACCCTTATAAAAGAGCTTTTGTGTATTTATACTGTTGTCTGGGGCAAGGCTGGTGGACGTGTGCCAGAACAGTGATGCAGTGGATTTCAGTTAGGGATCTTTTGATGCACAGAAAAGACACTTATGTTTTAAGACGCTTCTGTAGGCTTTTCTGACATCTTAGACACCAGAGCCTATATCTGTTTTACTAGGAATGTTTTCTGCATACAACTTCTGTAAATAATTGCCGACACACAGACTAATAGAGAAAAGAGTGAGCTGCTTTGTTCTTAGAAAATAATGTGCAACTTGACCTCTAAAGTTTTGTTCTGCTTTCAGTCTTTCTGTCTTAACTCTTCTTTAAGTAAGATAAAACAATGGGAACTTGTGCTGCGCAGGATATTAACAAGTTTCCTCCTTTTGCATCCTTCCCTCTAACTTTTCAGATACTACTTCTTTGTTCTGCTTTGCTTGTCTGTCACTGTGTAAACTGAATCTTTGAGTAGAAAGAAACATGTTAGAGTACTGATGCTTTTTGGGTGGTGGATTTAGCAAAAGTGGGTAAAGCACTGACTGTCTCCATTTGTTTTGTCTCTGCTGTGGCATGGGTGTTTGAATAAGGTGCAATGCTGCTTTTGCGCTAATACTGTTAATGCAGCAGCTCAAGAACTGTAACTGTCACCAATTTTCAGTTAGTGTGTCAGCCTGAAAACTGCAATAGATCATAAGAGGATGCTTGTCATGTTCCATTGTCCATGCAGGTGTCAAGGACAGCTGGAGTAGCAATGGATTCAGTAGTAAATTTAGCTGAGCTAATTGCATATGAATCAGTGCCTTTTGTTTTTTCTGCTGGAGTGCTTGTTTTTTGCCACTCTGTGCCTTCTGGAGGTGCTGAAGACCATTTAGAATTCTTTGGCCTTCTGAGGGTATATGGATATATTTTGGGGGAAAGCACTGCATGGGGTAATAAGTCTCAAGTCTTTTCAGAGTATTGTTAAAATATGCATGCATCTCTTCAACATTATGCACATGACTTTAAAAGCTATTTTATTAACTCTGTGCTTAGGCACCATGCAGGAAATTTTCGAGTCTTCTCTATTTTACAAAACTCAGACTGTTTGAGATGGGCTTTTTCCAATATTGTCAAAATTGGTATTAATGTAAGAAAGGAAGTTTAAAACTCTTCACTGCCTCTTGTTTGTCTGTGTGCACATGTTGGGGGGTGGGAGGAGGAAGCGTGAGACTTTTAATTAACTGTGTATGAACCTTATTCAAGATTTTTAATAATCCCGTTTGCTAGACTAAAGATTTTGTTTCAAAATCATCAAGTCAGAGAGGAGCCCATTCCTTGCATTGTCCTTGGTCTCATGATGAAGACAAGGACTCGCCTCAGTCATGATCATATGATCTGTGAAAACCTTCCTCCAACTCCCAAATTTCTAGGTGTAAGTTTGCTACTAAGTCGTCATGACATAGCTAGAATTGCTGATTTTTATTTTCAAGCAGTTGTAATGCTTTTATTTGATTGAGTTGTCTTAACTATTGCTTCCAATGCACAATAATTAATGCTGTGGAACTCCAGTCTAGGTCTGCTGGTGTCTGAAATGATTATAAGGTTTACTCGTATAGAAATTTTACAGTGAGTGCTGAACTTCAAGTGAGAGGGAGGTGTAAGTTTTCAGAGTAACTGCTTGGGAATGATAAGATAGGATGCTAAAATTGAGTTTACTAGGTTTGAGGGGGAGGGAGTGATGGGAGGAGTTTTATTTTGTATTTTGGGGGTTTGTGATCTGGTTTTGGTCTGACAGGACAAGAGGCATTTGTAATTGAAAAAAAAAAAACCCAGCTTAATATTGCTTAATATCACTGTAGAATAATATTTGAGGACAGTACAGCTTTCTTATGGATCTTAAGCAGGTGAATAATATGCCCTGTCTAAATAAAACATTACGATCCCAATTTCTGCTAAGCAAAGATGTTCATGTTCCTGTACACGTCCAATCTGTTGATTCAGTGGGCTGTTGGGTTAATACTTCCCCCTGTGCAAACACAGGTGGATCTTCACTCCTTCACAGCTGTCACTAACTCCTTGTTGGATGTTGTTATTTGGAGCTGTTCTTGTGGAGCAGTGAGAGAGAACCCCCAGCTCCATGTGTGGGGGCTGCTGGCAGCTGGCATTAACAATGAGGTTGCTGGTGATGCTGAACACTCAAGTCATGACTTCACGTATGCATGCATTTAGTTTATTGGTTTCTAATGCTTTGGAATTACTTTGATGGGTTTGAAGTTTAGGAAAAATGAAGGAGGAGCTTCATGTGCAGTTACTTCAGGTGTGGCATTAGGAAGCATGAATTGTTGACATTAGCCCTTCAGGATTCCCTAGGATTACTCCAGAAGCATGAATAATTCTGTTGTAAAAGCTTGTACAGTATTTGAGACCTTCTAAAGTATTGAGTCAGTGGGCAAAAGAATATAACTATTAAGCACTAGAAGTACTTCTTAACGAGTGAATGTTGTGCTTTGATACCTGAGTGGTTGCATTCTTAATAGTGACTTGACAGAAGATTTTGAATGTCTCTCGAATTGCTGCGGAGTACAACCCCCCACATTTAATACCTTTTTATGGTGGTATGTCTTGGTATTTATTATGCCTGTCTGTCTTGGGATCAAAGTTTTCCTTTGGTAACCTGTGGTAGATAAAGACAACCTATTTTCTCCCCTATGAAATTACTGTTTCAAGCTGACTGGAGAAGATCTTTCCGACTTCAAGTCCAATTACCTGCCGAGTTAGCTTCTGCTTTGTGCTGTCACAACAGCAGCTTGTATAGTCGCTGGCTGGGTTCCTGCAGCTCAAATCAAGTTTCATGCTGCTACTGGAGAAGAACAAAATGCAGCCATACAAATAATTATTAGGTCGCAGAGGGAGCTGCAATTTGTGCTTTGAGTGACGAGAGAAAATGAAAGTATAGGATTTTTGTGATTAGTTATCTACTGTAGGTATTGCATCTGCTTTGACGTACTTTGTGAATTTTGAGTAAAAAAGACCAGAAATCCTTTTGGCACTGATAGCTTTTTGGTGTTCACTCTGGATGAGAGCTGTGGAGCTCAGCTGCTGTCAGGAGGATACTGTGTCTGTCAGTGGTTTCTCGCTTACCTATTGGGCTTATTTATGGTGTAATCAGTTCATGGAACAATAATTTGTTCTGAAGTAACTTAATCACATGGGTATCTTGAGAGTCCCAAGGTGTGCAGAGGCAGCTTTTTCTTGGCTCATCAGATGAATCTGCTTGAATAATAGTTTCTGCAGTGTAATGTCCTTTTCGTCTATCAAATGAGCATCATCTTAACATGCTAAGTCCCTATCCCCTTGCCCTTGCAAATAGTAGGGAATGGTTAGACCGAAGAAAATGGTTAGACCATTTTCATTAGTAGAGCTTAATAAATAACAACTGTTACTTGGTTTGAAGCTTTCCTTCCTGAGTTTTTGGGACCTATTTAGCAGAATGCATGTCAAAGGTTTTGGAAAATCATTTTACAGTGTTTTCTAACAAAAAACAGATGCTTAGTGAAAGAAGGGAAATTAAAAATTGCTGAGGACTACAACAATTATTTTTTTTATGACTTAATGTTGGTTTTTGTTTTCATACTCTCCCTTCAGAGGGT